TGTCATGTTTTCCGCCGTGAACTATTTATACGTATACTCCATCGCAAAAATCAAAGGACAATCACGGGGCACGTGTGCAGTGTATTGTCAGCATGCGATCGAAGCGGCCCATGGCGTTAACAAATTCGATATCTCGACCCGAACGACCTTGGCGTAAAATTAGGCAACGCCTGCTTCGTGTTCGCGTCGGTTCTTGTGCGCTTGACTCATGTTGTTTAGCATGATAGAGACATGGTCATTCTTAAAAGTATTATTTTTACATATTTACCACATCTTATACTGCCGTTTCGTGCCACCGACGATTTTTTTTTTTAAATAGACTGAAATGCAATCGCTCGCGCTATATATGGAAACTTGCGATACGTTTAATAAACAGAATCTTTACTGTTGCTGAACTGCGCTTTTGATCATGATCTTTACTATTCCTAACTTGGATTTACCGCGAACCATAATATTTATATATAATAATAATACTATATAATAAAATATATAATAATTATATTTTTATAAAACGCTATGCGGTCGTCGTGGCAGATTTAGACAATTCTTCGACTTTGAGCTCTCGTAGGTCCATGACTTTTGTGAAATTGTACGCGGTTGCCACCGATCAAATTACACCGAATGAACCCAACAGTGACAATAAAATTTCTTTCTCACAGTGTCGGCTACACCTTCCATACAATTGAATCAGTCTAGCAGTGACACGCTCCTAACTTTATCACGCCAACATGCAGCCACGGGCCACGTAAGACGCGGCATCTCTGCATCGCGCTGTCCGCAGTCACCGGCAGCTGCGACGGTCGCCTAGGTAACGAACTAACTAACGAACAATCTAATGAACTATCCGCGCACATCTAATGTGTCCCGGTAATTGCGCGCGCGGGCATTGTCGAAAACACATGTTGTCGACACAAGTTGTTACGCGACGGCTGCCTACACTAGAAATACACTCGCGCTCTCGCTAGTCAATATTTTCCCAGTCTTATAAAAAGAGTCTAAACACCGAGTCCCGATTTTTAAAATGCCGATTCTACAGTCTAGTGTAGCACAATATAGCAACAGTGATATGTCTAAATGGAAAAAATTTCTACAGCAGTTACAATGTCAAGTTAGCATGGGGTCATGAATTTAATCATCAAGAATTTAAAATCGAGGCAATTAACGAATTTATTTCTAGGCAACTATTTGTGAGAGACATTGAGCATTTTCTACCAATAAAAATGCAGAGTGAGCATTAGGCCTTAGAGTAAATTAGTCTTGGAATTAAATCTGTCAAGCCTGCCCAAGCTGCTTTAAAAAAAACATAACATCTACTATATAATCCATCGTAAAATCCATAAAGATCAGAGTCCTGCTTAAAATTTACCAGGATTTGAAATTGCCCACTTACGCCTTCTAACTCGGCGACGTGAAACGTGAAGAGGAACGCGCATGCGCAATCGCGTACGCTCCCTCGTGCCGCTCATGTACATTTTTGGCCCGCTGACAAGACGGTGCTAAATTATGATAAAATTTTGAAAGAGCAGAATATAATGGATTGTACGCATTTCATGTGATTCACTACGAGCGTTGCAAGGTCTCGATACAACTATAATTAATAGCTGCTGCTGCTGCTGCTGCCGCCGCCGCCGCCTGGCACAGCCGCAGCCGCCGCCACCACCACCAGTAAGTAGTAGTAGTATTGGTAGTATATATAGTAGCAGTAGCCGTAGCCGTAGCTGTAGTAGGGTAGTGGTGGTGGTGGTGGCGGCGGCGGCGTTGGCGGCGGCAGCAGTAGCAGTAGCAGCAGCAGCAGTAGCAGCAGTAGTTGCCAGTTCTACAGGTGTCGTTATACTGCTGCCACTGCTTTGGCTACTACAGCAGCTGCTACTATTACTATGGGGGCCGCCCTATAGACCGAAGGTCCGATAGACCGAAGGTCCGATAGACCGAATATTGAAAAGGGACCTATAGACCGAAGGTCCGGTAAACCGAATATTGAAAAGGGACCTATAGACCGAAGGTCGGATGACGATATTTATAATCTGTAATACCTTTATAATTTGTGACAACGACACGCACACGCAAACGCACACGCAAGCCAGACCGCAACGCACACGAGACACGCGCGCGCAGCGCACGCGCACGCGCACGCACGCCCGACACGCCGAACACAACACCACACGCAACCCCACCCCACACAGAGTGAAGATAATTGTTGTCTGCACTGTTTGTTGTGTCGTATTCCTCGAATAAACGCCGGGCTTATTGTTTTCGTCCCTATGCCCCGAGTGCCTTTCAGCATGCCTTTTTCAGCAGGGGGTTTTTGTTTTATGCTGTCACCGGTATTTGTTTTTTTCCTTCGTAATGTAATATCTAAGCAGGCTGTTATTTCGTGACAATTCCCGGCCAACGCGAGACTTCGAGGCGCGAGGCCGACGTTCGCCGGTCCGCACACCGGTAATCCGTTTATACTTTTATTCTTTTTGGTTAACAGAAATATTATTCAAAGGGAGGTATTGGGGTGGCGACGTTTGTCTTTGCAACATTTCTACTCGTACTCGATAATAATGCAAAAACATAGATGTTCATTTAAGCAACCCCCCCCGTATTTAGTATTATGCTCGATTTGATGTGTGTAAAATCTTTTCGGTTTCTCTTTTCGGGGCGGTTGAATATATTTTATGTTTGGGTTTAGGCTGGCGGTTTGTTTAATTTTTTTTTTTTTTTTTTTGTTCGATTGTCGGGTTCGAGTGTAGCGCCCAGCAAATTTGGTAACCCCCGTGTCTATGTGTGGTGTTGTGCGTGTGCGTTTGTGCTATGTGTGGGTGTGTGTGTGTGTGTGTGTGTGTGTTGTGTGTGATGTGTGTGAGAGAGAGACAGAGAGAGAGAGAGACGAGGCAGAGAGACGGAGAGGTGGTGTGTGTGTGTGTGGTGTGTGTGTGTATGTGTGTGTGTTGTGTGTGTGTGTTCGTGGAGGGTGGGCGTGACAGAGGGAGGAAGAGAGAGGGGGTGAATGTGTGTTGTGTGTGTGTGTGGGGGGGGTGGGTTGTGTGCGAGTGCGCTGTTATTGTGGGTGTTGTGAGAGAGAGAGAGTGGAGGGAGATGAGGAGAGGAAAGAGAAGAGAGAGAGGGAGAGGTGTGTGGTGTGTGTGTGTGTGGTGTGTGTGTGTGTGTGTGTGTGTGTGTTGTGGGTGTGTGTGTGTGTGTGATGTGTGTTGTGTGTGTCGTGTGAGGGGAGGGAGAGAGAGGGAGAGGAGGAGGAGGCAGGTTGTGTGTGTGTGTTTGTGTGTGTGTGTGTGTGTGTGTGTGTGTGTGTTGCGTGTGTGTGTGTGTGGGCGTGTGCGTGTTCTGTGGTGCTGTGTGTGTGGTGAGAGAGATAGAGAGACGAGGAGAGAGAGGGAGAAGGTGTGTGTGTGTGGTGTGTGGTGTGGGTGTGTGTGTGGTGTGGTGTGTGAGAGAGAGGGGAGAGGAGGATGAGAGAGAGGAGAGGGAGAGAGGGAGAAAGGTGTGTGTGTGTGCGTGTGCGCGTGCGTGTGTGCGCATGCGTGCGTGTGTGCATGCGTGCGTGTGCGTATGCGTGCGTGCGTGCGTGCGTGCGTGCGTGCGTGCGTGCGTGTGTGTGTGTGTGTGTGTGTGTGAACGCGTAGCCACTGCGTATTCCGAAAATGCATCTTTACACCTTGAACACATAACCTTCGGTCTATCGGACCTTCGGTCTATAGGGCCTTCGGTCTATAGGGCTGTAACCATTACTATTGGTGCTGCTGCTACTATTACTATTGGTGCTACTGGTACACACGCGCGCGTGCGCCGATGCACGATCATGCACATCCTCACACGCAAACGCACACGCGAACGAGCGCGCAAACAGGTCTGCGCAAAGTAACTCAATAACCGATTGGAATGTAATAATCATTGCCTTTAAAAGAGCACTATCACAAGGTTTAATGCATTATCTTTGCTCACATCCCTCTAATGTGCTTTTCGATCGGATAGAAAGTATAGAATCTCTCCGCTTTCCTGAGGTAGGTATATGCAAAGCAAATCCCAAGTCTAATACTTAAGGAGATCATGTTTCCAACGTGTTTCTCACGTAAAACATAAAGCTTCACTAAAAATATTAAATACCTAAATATTTAATAAAAAATACTAAATAAAATACTTAAAATACTTATATTAAATAATTTTTATATAACAATATCAATGTACTTATATTTCTTTTTTGTAATTACGTTCCTGTTTTCATTGTTTGATAGTTACACAAGATTATAGGATATTATAATTTTTCTCCGTGCATCCAGAAAATTGTCTTTCTTTAAAATGGATAAACCTCGCAACAAAAAGCCGACATACACCTACTGTGAGAATACTCGCAGTATGCAAACATCACGAAATGTTCTTATTGAGTCAGAAATGTGCTCCGAATTAGAGCATTTTGAAAACTCCATCGGACAAATAGTAGGCCTATGCTAGCGCAAGTAGTTCCTGGATAGAAAACACTATATTTGTTTGCTGATTGCATAAGTAATGTAGATAACGTTCAACAAATTTAACAATTTTGTACTGAACAAACATCAAATAATGAATTATAACTTGTTTTATCATAGAAAAGAACTGTTAATGAAAATTGTGATAGCTCGGCTGTGTACCGGATGTGTAAACATCACTGTGGTGTCACTTTCGTAAGAGAAGTACTTTCGTTTAGATTTTGTGAAGTTGTAGTGAATTTTTCCAACATAGACGAGCTCACAATAGGTAGGCCTATATCTATGCATTTTGCTGCAAGAACATATTAACATATAACATGTTTTTTTGGCGTATTAACATGTTTCTGTCAACGGTCTGCAAGAGGAAGTCGATGTTATGAATAATGCTGAGACCAGACTGTTTCTGACAGCGCCCCTGGTGACGTAAACACCGTGCTACGTAAGGGTGCATCAGCCCCATCTTTCACTTCGCTCCCACTCGCCGCTTGCTGCGACGCGCAGAGCCATGCGGAAGCAGCACGTGTCACGTACCTCGCTGTTTTGTGGCGATCGTCGGCCGCCGTGCGGTGCTCCAACGTGTCAAGAACGTAGCAGACGACCACCAGGGCGAGCCTTGTCCCCACACCGATAGACGTTATGCTCTCCAGCGCCCTCTGGTAGGTCGCACGCTGTCGCGAGCGAAGTTCCTTTTCCTGTAACTGCCGAAACCTGCCACACCAACAAGGACGACACTAGTAAGGAACACGAAGACGCTAGTAGGGAACACGAAGACACTAGTAAGAAATAAAAAGACACTAGTCAGGAATAAAAAGACACTAGTCAGGAACACGAAGACGCTAGTATGGAACACGAAGACGTTAGTAAGGAACACGAAAACGCTAGTAAGGAACACGAAGATGCTAGTAGGGAACACGAAGACACTAGTACAAAATAAAAAGACACTAGTATAGAACACGAAGATGCTAGTGAAGAACATGAAGACGTTAGTAAGGAACATGAGGACACTAGTAAAGAACACAAAGACACTAGTGAAGAACATGAAGACACCAGGAAGGAAAATGAAGGCACCGTCGATGAACATGTACACTCTAGTCTAGTGAGACAAGAAATTATACAAGTAAGTAACAAGGGGGCTCTAGTACGAAACGGTTACACTAGGATGGACTATACTACTACTGTATTTTAGTTTGTATTATTATGCTAGCATGCAGTTTATACGAATGAAACTGCAGATGACAGTAGCAACACTTGGGCTTATAATAGAAACAAATAGGGATGATAGCTGGTTGTGTAACACGAGGTGGGAAGCTGGCTGAATTGAGAGCATTGGTCGTTTCACAGTTTCACTAAGAAGTACGAGCGATTCGCTGTATGACCTCGGGTGTTCTGTACTGGATTGCCTGGATGATGGCTACTGGCCAAGTGTCTACTGTCATTTGAAACAGACTCAGCAGTTAGTACTTTAGCCAAAGCCCGAAGATCGATCGAAATGCTTGCTCGTTTGATTAGCAAATATTATTGAGTAGTGATGTGGGAAAACAAAATTGATGTGAAGGAAGCAAAGACGACCTGTTTTGGAAGTTGCATATAAGGGTGAGCATGTGTGGAGTACGGAGGGAGAGAAACAGTCGACTAGTTCAGAGAGTAGATAGTAGACAGCATGAACTAACCCCTTAAGTGTAGTTGTTCGGCTATAATGACCTTAAACTGTGTTAGATGCGTAAACGTGTTTGAATTTGTTCAGAGAGAGAACGTTCCTTTTTAAATCTTGCTTCATGAGTAAATATTTGCATTAATTTGGGCTTATTGTATTATTTTGAGTTTTTACAGCTTAGCAATACACCTACTTTGACATTGGAGTTCATCCGTTTAACTGTGGTTTCTCGACTACAATTACCTGAGATTCAGGCCATTCTGTAGTTGCTCTGACAGAGCCGTGCAATTCTGCACGATGCAACGTAGCAGGCCAATGAGCTCCAACTCCGCTTTTGGCCTGTAGAGGGTGCTGCCTGTCATCCCTTGCAAGAGGTGCTGTGTCTGCTTGACAATATGCTCGAACGGCAACACGAACCTACAGACAGCCAATGGAGCACGCAAGTTTGGTTGGATTCTCGCTGAGCATTATGTCCGAGCTAATAATCTGGCTTGTTTGGTCGGATTACTGATCGAGCTGATCCTGCTGTGGTGGGTGGATCAAAGCAGATCCAATATGGTGGCATGCGAAATCAGCCATTCAGGGCAAGCTGCTGGTCGTCAAACATACATTGATAGGTCACAATTAAGACCAAAACTCACAGCAATGACAACAGGCAACCATAAAGTTCAGCGCCAAAGTTTCAGTAACTGTCCCCAGCAACACTGCAAGCATTAACGACTGGCACTGGTCAGGTTTGCTCGAGAAATGCGCCAGATCTCATTAAACCGAATTTCTCTGTACAGATAAACTGGCCCATAAGCATGAAAGCCATGGGATGAAGTATTATCCTAAGAATGGGTAACGCACTTAGAAGCACATGTCAGGCCGCACTACCTTTATAGTGAGTCTACCAAACTTTTTACGCAATCATACACCCTGGCAGGTGTTGTGCAGCACATGTCATATAAACATGCAAAAAACAGTAGAATAGTAATGAAATTATTTTAATAGCTAACAGCAGTAATGTATTAGCAACTTAACGATTAATTGTATCTTTTAATTGCAATACAGAACAAGGAGAAATGAAATAATACCTACTTATCCAGGCCTCCATCGCAGAAAGTCGATGACATCTGCGTAATGCTGAGAGCTGCTTGGCATGCAGGACGGAACAGAGGCTCTGTGGCGGACACGTTACTCCACGAGCAACGGATTCCATCAAACACGCTGCAAAATGTGCGGAATTCACATTAGTACTTAGACGAAATAAAGTCCAAAACAGTATAAAAATTCGAAAAATTTGATCAGGATGCATATGACATGTTTTCAAGATTGATAATTGAACTCGGAACGCAAGTAAACATTGAATCGTAGACAACACCATCTCGCAACATACTGCCAAAGTATCTGTGAGATATTTGTGCAATAAAATTTATTTGAATTTGAATTTGAATTTGACAGACAGTATTCACTTGCGTACGTGTGAACGCGCCGACTCAAACCAACCCGAGCCAAATTTAGCCTGAGCCAAATTTATCCCATTTAGCTCGAGCCAAACCATTACCGTGTGAACGCGGTATTAGTATTCACTTAGCAATTATTACCTGGTTGTTAGTCACCTAACTACTATTCACTTAGCTGTTATCCACCTAAGTGGTGCTCACCTCTGTTACGCACCTCCCAATTACTCAGCTAGCTCATACTTACGTAAAGGTATGGGGCTTCAACATTAAGAGTGAGATACGTACAGGAGTGTCTGGATATCCGTGGGCTCTGTAATCACCCTAATTGATTTCTCTTCATATAGAGAGAGCTACAAACGCCTCGCAGAAATATGAAAAGGGCAAATTTCATACCGGTCGTCTGGAACGCAGAGCTCTGACCAGGTGGATAGTGACCCAGAACAGTCCTTGATCTATGAAGTGAAACCACAATTCAAATATTCACCAATGCAATTCACTATCCATGCTGGAGTACTACTCCTACTACTGCTATTATTTTCATAGGACTGCAAATTATTTTTCTATTTCTTCTTCTTATTATTATTAGTATTATCAGAATAATTCAAACTTTCTGTGTCCACATTAAAATATGTAACATTTACCCAAGTTCACATAATCATGTGCATCAACAGAAACTGTGCACAACGGGACACCGCCCTTGTTCGTCTGTTTGATGCGCTATGTGTTTTTAACAGATTCATACCCACAAATAGAAGGCGAATCCAGACGAGTAATGCACTACTATGATCCATCATGATCACGGACGTGCACTTAAATGTGATCACACAAACTCGGCAAGCGAACACGTGTAAAATTACTAATTTGATTACCTGTCGCACGAGTGCCGATCTCGGATGGAATATCGACTCGTAGCCTTTTATAGCCGCCAGTAGCCGGTAGACTCCATTCTCCTAATAGTGGGAGTGTCAGAGAGTGTTAGAGTAATTTAGTAGATATATATATGCATTGTTTTGCACCTCTTATTGATTTGTCACTGTATCTTATATTTGTATCTTACGTATCTTATCTTATGTGAAAGGAAAATGATGTGGGGGAGTCCATTTTTGAGTATCCGAGGTAAAACGTGTGCAATTTCCCAGGTTACAGTTAAATCGCAATTATTAGTTCTTTTTAATCTTTACAATCTATTTTATTTTAATTAATTGGTATTTCCCGGTTCCTAGGTAGTTAAAATGGTCTAATATAAATCCACATCCCGAAAAGCAATGGGTTCACTTTCTCATATATGTAATGTGTATGTAGGGTTATGTTGTGTATTGACAACGTAGTCTGTTCTAGCTATGGATAACTCACATATATGGCAGAAATAGGAGATCGCAGTATAAGAAGGTTGATGCAAAACAACAGTATAAGAGAAAATTCAGGGTAAAATGGCAATACATTTCAAATATACATAACAAGATAATATAGGACAGGGGTACATGTGGAAGAAAGAAATACAGGGCAGGTGTAAAGAAAACGACAATGCCAAACAATAGCACATGTGAAAATACAACATAGTGGTACATAAGAAGAGAATATAGGACACTGACACATAATAAAGCAATATTGGAGAACTGTACATAAGTACAGAGCAAGAGTAAAGGCGGGACCCGGAGATAATTGGAAAGAGGTACATGGGTGAGTGAGTGAATCTGGGTCGCACAGGGCCATGCCTTATTTATATACAGTCCTGAAATAATATAAGAATATATAAAAAATATTATACTATACTCCCGGCCCCCCACTCCGAGGTTGGAGGGACCGCATGCGCGTTCCCAAAATCTCCGGTAAAGGGGTATTTTTCGCGCGACAAAATCCGGCCCAAAAATTGTAAAAAAGGGGGTGTATTTGACTTTTCACCCGGAGATTTCTTTAAAAAGGGGGTGTTTTTCCTCTCTCTCTCTTTCATCTTGAATATCATAGAAAACTTTATCAAATCCCGGGATCAAATTCCTGAAATTCCTGCTAGTTTTGAAAGCTCATTCAGGATTATTTAATTTTGAAATGTAAAAATATTGCCCCCTTGTTCCCCTCGATCACTGAACTCTACACTACGTAGTGTAGACTGGTTCGACAGTTCCACACGCTACACTAACGTCACTACGGTTGGAATGAGAGCTCACCTGAGATAGGGGGTACATTGAGCAGTGTTCCGGATTTAGGGGGGTCTCCAAGGCAGGAAAAACCCGCAAAAAGCCCGCGAAAGGAGTTCCGGATTTAGGGGGGTCTCCAAGGCAGGAAAAACCCGCAAAAAGCCCGCGAAAGGGGGTTCAGAAATTTTAGCAGTCCTGAGATAGGGGGGTGCTTTCAAAGGGAGGGAACGAGCATATGCGTACCCTAAATAACACTGAGTGGAGGGGCCGGGACTATATTATATTATGTCATGTTATATTATATTACATTCCAATTAGGTTGTTGCTGCATCCTGTAGTTGCACACGCGAACGCAATCTGCTAAACAATGAGTTAGTTGTTCTATACAGATGCACCATTCAGCTGTACACGTAGCAATATGGATTTTTGGCATTTTGCACAATTTATCACAATTTATGCAGCATCACACTGTAGATATGTGTGGTTTATTCACCATCTGTCCTTACATCGATCAATTCAGAAGCGAGCAGACCATATAGGATCCTGTTAATTAACGAGGTGAGACAATAAGAGTCCCTTTGCTCGTGCTCGTACCTTTAGGTTCGATAGCTAGCAGATTAATTACGCAGCTACTGGCAAGGCACAGCAATGAGAGGAAACGTGTGAAAGGAGAGCCCGACTGAAAACAGAGGCATGAGTGTAAAATAGGTTAGAGATTTAATAATAATAATAATAATAATAATAATATTGCAACGCACACGCATTTTACTACTCAGTGAAACGCACTGATAGGTTTCTCAGCTCTACGCGATCCAATGCAACTGTGACTGCAAATGAATCATAACAAAAACAGCTAAACAAGATGCCGCTCCCTGCACTGTTCTGTGAGCATTGCGACCGATAGGAAAATTGGTCGTTTCGTACAATTTCGTTCAGGAAAATAATTCGTGATGAATCCCGAAATTGTGGTTCAATTCATCTGAGTATATGGCATGGTAATAAAAGCACGCCATATTCTTCGTAACTTTTCTAACATATTCTGCATTAACATCGATGGGGAGCCACGAACCCAGATGTTTGAGGGCAATAAAATTTGCTTGTTGTTAGGAACTAGTCCCTCTACTTTAATTCCTAATGGTTTCGCCCGAGACCTAATTGGACTGTATTGCGTGACAGTAGACAGGTTTTTCACTTCTATCAGCCATTCCTTTTTGTGTAACAGTTCTGTAACGATGGCTACAGTGGTCCTCAGCGATATCATCTAACACATCCAGATGAGACGGGATACCAGAGAAGTGTTGCCGAAAGGAGGTGTTGATCCTAACCGTTGAGCGCGGATCTTGCGCGCAGTTCCGCGGCAAGGCGCACGCGACCGCGGGAACGTCCTACGACAGTATACAGCGCTGGCAGCTATGGATCCGTGCGCCAAATGTATAGGTCGGCGCACGGATCCATAGCTGCCAGCGAACAGTCCGGAATTTTAGCGGGGGACACAGAGGGCAGAGATTTGGGACGTGGGAGGAACTCGCGACTTAGATGGGGAGTCGTACAGATGGGGGGGGGGCGAAAGCGAAGCTTTTGATTTCGCGGTGGTTCCATTTCCGTGTGGTCTTAGGCGTTTTCACTATAAGTTGTACAGCGCCCCATGACGCCTGTCCTATGTAACACTTGATATGTGAACACCAGAGAGATCGCACCATGATTGCATGAAGAAATGGATGAGAATGTTGTACGAGAGAGTATGCGCATTATGTGGCTATTCGTTACATCGAACCGATTCCTCTGCGTATTGCTCTGCTCTGTGCTGCTACAGAACGTCATGACAGCAGTACCTACGTCGTGTTGAAAGGAACTGTTGACAGCCGTCATGTTAAAGATGTCGGCGACGTTGTTTTGCCTGAAGTTCTTCATGTAACGTGATGTTGTGCACACAATCGGCAACTTCCTCAATATGATAGATTTGGATGACATTTGTCACGCGTAGTAAGACTTATATTGCTAAACGGCGCATATATGATCGCCGGAGAATGTATAACTGTTGTGTATAAAAGTTGCAAAGATATTAAAAATCCGACCGTTATTTCATGATATTTTTTATAAAATAGTGATACGAAATAGTACACGAATTGTGCGCCCATTTACCTCTTTCAAATCATACGCTGTTTACGAATCTCCATTCGCTGGATTTCCCCCGAGCTCCGCCCACTTTAAAAATAGTGCTAGCATTGTGGCAGTGGTATCTTGAGTGGGCGAAAGGGCACTGCATGCAGTTTGATTGTGGCAGTGGTATCCTGGACCCGGTTCCACAGTCGTGGATTAACTTTAACCCTAGGTTAAGACTAACTCTGAGTTAATCTCACTAACTCTGAGTTAGTAAACTCCGAGTTAAATTTGGGTTTCATAAACATGGATTAAATCCTGAGTTAAATAACTGAGAGTTAACGCAGAGCAAGACTTAGAGTAACTCAGAGTTAGTATCCCATAATTCCACATAGTTAGAACAGACGAACATGATAGACGCATGATAGACGCATAGACGATAGACGCATGATAGACGCACGATAGACGCATGATAGACGCATGATAGACGCTTGATAGACGCATGATAGACGCATAGACGATAGACGCATGATAGACGCACGAACATGGTAGAAGGTGTAATGAAAAAACGTTATAATGAAAACTGGCAGCGATAAATAAATGAGGGAAAATATTTTGCCAGCAACGTTTGCGCCAGTAGCACGGCGCTTTAACAACTGCGGCTATTGCGACATCGCTAAATATCATACATTTTCCCATATTATCACAGTACGGATGCCTGGATCAGCGTTGGTATGCCATCAATGGCCGACCAATGTACACCAAACGTAAACAAACACCTATGTTCCAGCAGCAGCGGAGGATCGGACACGGGGCAGTACTAAATAAACTAATTAGCTCTAGTACTAGTACCCTAGAGCTAAACTAATCTCGTAGAAACTACGAGAGTGTATGAACGGGCGCTGGATGGAGTTTAGGGGTTATAGCTAGACTGGTACCCGTTCGCCACCTTCACTCCGGCAAGTATCCTTCGCTACACTGAAGTTAGTTAGTGTAGCATGTGGAACTGTCTACCGGGGAGCAGTGTAGGTTATAGCCGGCCGAGCGGTCTGCAGGAAAGTCGTAGCGAAACGCTATGCATATAGCCTCGTTGCGCCATCTATCACAGGGCATATGTACTACACTGTCACTGATATGGGGGCATGAATTAGTCGCTGGCACAAAAAAGTTCAACTCCGTTTTTTACAGCAAACCAAGCCCGCCGAGTAGCGAACCAAGAATTACGACAATTTTTAGGAAATCTCTAGCTACGTGGGTAGTCAAACCCGTCGTGCAATCGCCAGAACTGCTCAATTCAGCGATATAGCCCCACAATTGCGTCTATAGTAGACCCGTTGAAATTGCTATTCAATGAGTGCAGCGTTGTTGTGTTAGTGTGCCGCTACGCGGCGTTTTTCGCGCTTCGCGCAATATCTGGGCTGCCGATCGTCGAGAACTCCCCAAATGTAACTAGTAAGGAGATTTTCACTCATGGAATATCACTTGTGTAAAATTCGGTTGATTTTACACAAATAACCTCCCGATTGATTAACTCATCCGATAAATCCTAACAAGCAGTGACATGGTTATAAAGTAACATCTGCCAATATTCACCTTTAGAAGTTTAATTTTTGTGGAAATCTCTTATGGAATTTCTAATAGACCCTGCAGATGTAGTTGCTTCAGTTTCTTCCCAAGTGAATATATCTTAACCATAGGGGACATGGGTTCAACAGTGTTACAACTGTAGGTGCTAGTGATGTTATTATAAGGTCAGTGTTATATAATATAATAGTATATAAGAATCGAACGTAAGGATACTTTATTAGCCTGTCTGGAAATAGCAAGGAAATTATTTGCCCTGGGCGGTGCATAAAAATAACATGAACTATGCCGCCTGAAACCAAAAAATTTGTAACAAAATTAAGCATAACAAACGAAACTTGGTTACAGTATCTAATCATACCGGTGTGTTAAAAAAATTATAAAGGTTGTGTCTGTGTGAAGTTTGATGTATTGGAGAATATCGTACATAAGGGGACAAAAGGAATTAAATGTGACATATATATATAAGGACAATACAGCACAGTTAGTTATACACACGTAATGGAGATGTGGATAATAAATACGGGATATAAATAGGAAAGAATTCTACACAAATTATTCGAAACATTGATCATTCGCTTTTATCAGCCAAAACTCGGAAACTTTCGCATAGTGGTGATATTATTCCAGCATAGAATGAATAAAAAAGTATTAAAAAAACAAATTCGATGTTAACATGGCTGCCATTTTTGTTAGAAAATGCTGAGACAAGATGCTCACAACACTCACCGTCCTCAACGGAGCATCAGAAGGCAGGCAGGCAGAGCAGAACGCAAGACAGAGGGCGCTGACATGATCGAATAGGACCAGCGGCAGGCTGGAGAAGTTGATCTCGCCGTGGCTGAGTTTATCGCGAATACGCGGGCCGTCAGTGTGCACCAGCAGGTCAAAGAGCACCATCTATGACATTAAAATGACAGGAATGACAAGACAAATATGCATCGTAATATATCTATCTATCTATTTATATGTGTGTGTGTGTGTGTGCGTGCGTGCGTGCGTGCGTGTGTTACGAAGCATTTCCGTCTCGGTGGTTAAATAAGAAGTTTGAAGACACTCTGATCCTTTACATTTAAACTCTGCCTGATTCCCTACTCAGAGACAAAAAGTCTAAACGGTTTCGGTTCGTCATTCGGTGATTTAACCGCGTAAACTGTTACCATGTACGATTCTCCTATAGCTGACATCAGCTTGTTCTCTCGTCCATCAGCCAGCTGAGGCAAGAGCATCTCATCAAATGTTGTGAAAAGCACCGTGTTCTGCAATAAATAAATGGAAGAAATTGCAGCGTATGGAGATGTGACTCAAGGTACACGCTCCTCAATAAATCGAGTGCAAAAACCAAGAAATTATAAAAAGAAATATATTCCTTGAAAAAGGAACTGGTGACAGCCACCAAATGTAAAATCAAAAATACAATAGCAATGACATGAGAACTCAGACCTAGACATTTAAATATCTCTTTACAAACCTAATACAAATGAACATTGTTTGCCTAAATCATAAAAAAAATTCATGAATATGTAAACTGTAATATGATTATGTTTTGATCTCTAATGGCCTAAGAAACCATGCTCATTCATTAGGCATAATACAGTAAACTTCTGCGATTATTCACTGCTGCACTGCTTCTTGTCCTGGCAAGAACAATTTTCTAACCATTTAATAATTACCACTAGAAAGTACTCTTCTGCATTTACGTCCTGCGTATACACAATTGTACATATAATATGGCTATAATATGATACATAATAATACATAATAATACATAATTGTACATAATTGTACATAATAATACATAATAATACATAATTGTACATATAATATGGCCCTATATACAGAAATAGGTCAATTGGTTTTCTAGACACATTTCGCTATGGATCTGCCATGGATAGAGCCATGCTATATATAGCTATATAGCTATATGGCTCTATATGCTATATAGAGCCATACTATCATGCTATGGATCAGTGTTGTAGGTCTCGAGGTCGGTCTTGGCCTCGAGACCGGCCTCGAGACCGTTTTCCTTGGTCTCGGTCTTGGTCTTGGCCTCGGAGTGCAATGACTCGGACTCGGACTCGGACTCGAGCCCTCCGGACTCGAGGACTCGGGTCGAGACCGGCTCGAGGCCACTACATAAATAGTACACAACTGTACATATTGTAACACGAGGCAGTTTACAAGGATTTAAAACTAAAACTCGTAGGTTTTCTAGATACACGGTCTAATCTTGTAACGTTTTCAATGGCTCGATTAAGATTCTTGTCCCTTTGGTTTGAATCTGCTGTCACTTCGTCCCTTTTTCTACCACTTCCTTCTCTTCTTCTACCACTTCGAAGGTACTAGCACTCTCTAATTTGGTTCAACAAGCCATGTCATTTGCGTAAAACAGAAATGGATCCGTTACTTTGACACGTTTCGTATGACTCGTGTCTATGTGTTTCGTGCGCAGTTGCAGCAAGCAGATGCGTGATATTGTTCGATACAAGCACACGCACGCACGCACGCACGCACGCACGCACGCACGCACGCACGTCTACGTGCACACGCACGCACACACTCACATGCACGCACGTGTACGTTCACACGCACACACGCACGCACGAAGGCATGCACGCACGTGTACCTGCACACGCACGCACGCACGCACGCACGTACGTGTACCAGCACACACACGCACGTACGCACGCACGCATGCACGTGTACGTGCACACACACGGACGCACGCACGCACGCTCGTGTAAGTTCACAGGCACGCACGCACGCACGTGTACGTACACACGCACGCATACACTCATGCACGCACGTGTACGTGCACACGCACGCACGCACGCACGTGTACCTGCACACACACGCACGTACGCACGCACGCACACATGCACAGACGTGTACCTGCACACGCGCACACGTACGCACGAACGTGTACCTGCACACGCGCGCACACACGCACGCACGCACGCACGCACGCACGCACGCACATGTACGTACACACGCACGCACGCACGTGTACGTGCACACGCACGCATGCACGCACGTGTACGTGCACACGCACGCACGCACGCACGTGTACGTGCACACGCACGCATGCACGCACGTGTACGTGCACACGCACGCACGCACGTGTACATGCACACGCACGCACGCAGCACGCACGTGTACGTGCACTACATAAACAGCGCTTTCTATCAGAACATGTGGTCATTCATCTGTAAATGTCAAGCAGCACGCTTCGCTTCTGCAAACCACAACACATAACAAATACACGTGACCTGATCTATGACGTCACGTGAAACATCGCTATACACTTTCGAATGTCTACGATGCACTGTTGCGATTTTTTCCCTTTTTCCCCTTTTTTCTGATTTTTCCCCTTTTTTCCCTTTTTCCGATTTTTTCCCTTTTTTTATTAAAACTGGACTCTCACTCAGACTTGGACTCGGGTGGTGTGGACTCGGACTCGGACTCGGACTCGGGTGGCGCGGACTCGGACTCGGACTCGGACTCGGGGGGTGCGGACTTGGACTCGGACTCGGACTCGGGGGGTGCGGACTCGACTACAACACTGCTATGGATAGAGCCATTTGTATGGTGAACTAATTTGCATACAAGATGATATCTGGAAAACATGCAGAAAATTCGTTTCAAGGAGCCATTAGAACTTTTGTATCATGTGCATACTGTGAATGTATACTGATTTAGCATGAATAAAATTCATGTGGTGTACGAATTGTCGTTTTCTAAGTATTTGTAGGTAATTTTTGTATCATGCTATATCAGCCCTGTAGCCTATGGACGCCATCTACTGGTGATTTCTACCTCAAATTTTGAGTGCAATTGTTCTGACTAGGATATCCTTCTATTGGCACTCTCATTAGTCAATAACAATAGCTAAGCACACAACAGCCATTTAGCATTATATAGCATTAAACCGACACGTTATATCTGACATTACACAGGGAAAGCAGAGGACAGCCGTTACAAAAGCAGACAACAACTCCACAGGCTGCAAATCACAGTACATGAGCAGTCAGCAGCCGCTCTTCAAAACTTGCCTCTGCGGTCAGCATGCGTTCCTGACATTTATTAACGGTAGTGAACACCCTCCTAAGACCATGTTCCAGCTGTGGCAGCAACAGTGCCAACCCGTATCCATGTCTGTAATCCATTTTGTAAAAAACGTGAACAATTTATATAATACAATAGCAGAAATAGGAAAAACTGGCAAATAAGTGTGTGAAACAACCGTATACTTGACAGTTGACACATAGTTGATTGACAATAGTTCATAATACTTCTCATGTGTATTGGCAGGCATAAGTTCCTTACCTTCCATGCTGCAATAAATGTAATGCGAGCTCCCAGTATGGTTTAAATGTCGGTGTAACAAAGCAGCTGGAGTGAACAAGTCTTTTCCACAGGTCGGGTTGGCAATTTACGTGCGAAATAGCTGCAAACATGAAAACACATTCAGTTAGAAAATATCATACAAACTCACTGTTACATCACCTATTTATGCTGCCAACAATTTTTAACAGAGCAAGATTTCTATTCATTGGTTCATTTTGTACATGGTCTATTTTAACCATGCTTAGCAAATTAAATTGGAGGAAAAGGTATACCACGAAATAGAGCTCAAATAATTTTTTAAATGACAAAGCAAACAGATCTTCTTGGTATTTGATTTTTTTTTATCACCTTCATCTAATCCCTGCACCCAACATACAACAATACATATCAACTGTAAGCTGCCATTTATTAACACAATTAAATCAGTTTTGAGTCGAGTCGGCAAAGATTGTCATGTTAAGTAAACACGATTAAAAATGATTTTACCTGGGAGAACACCCTGGTACATGCTCACATGTGGGTATGCTATGTATGGCCTCTGAGGAATTTCTACATCACCGATGACCTCTCCCAGCGATACGATGATGAGAATCAGGAATGCTACACACCTAGTTATCGGGTCAGCAGTATTCAGTGATGTGAAAGGTAATGGTCAGCTGACTTGGAACATGAAAACAGACATGATTGTAGCACTGATATTATTACTTCAATTAATTCTCTCTAAGCAATATTATTTTCATTGTCCTATTGTGATAGTATAGACTCAATCCTCTTTCTTTCTCTGAAAACATTGTGTCCTTTTATCTCACAATTGTTTGGCATTGGACCCAATTGTGTGTGATTGCAATGGTTTTGAGAATAAATGAACTGGGATAACTTTAAGTAACACTGGCTGTGTTAGGACACTAACAGTGGGCCAGACACTTTTCAGACAAAAGCATTTATTTATACCTAGTTTTAAATCAAAGGGCCTTGGCCAAACAATACCAAATTTTAATAGACATGCCAAGCCACTCGAAAATATCATGGCACAAGCCACAGATGTCTAACGTAAGACAGAATAAAAATGATTGTGTGTCTAATATGTTATGCGAACCTCAACGGTATTTCCTGAGGCCCAGCAAAGCCATGCCAAGTGATATTTCTCAGGTTGAGAGATGTGGGTGGACCCATCAATACCTTCAAGATACTCATCTAGAAATTTGTCAGAGAAATTAATTAGGAATAGGAAAGCCAAAGTAATGGAGTTCCACGTTGCTATGCCTTGGATCCAGCATCTTTTATTCACATTGATGCAAAGCAGTGACGTATATTTCTTTAGCTAAATAGCAGGGAACTTTTCAACATTCTTTATCCACAACCATCTCTTGACGATCTTTACGACGTTTAAATACAACACAAGTAAAAAAATACAATACAATACAATAACACGATACAAGTAAGTACCTGAAATTGTCCAAATGTGTGAACAAGCTCTGGTGTAGAGAGCAGGGTATTCAGAAGTGAAGGACACTGCACTCCTCTGAGTAGGTAAACCTGAAAACAATTATAAAGACATCCAAAAAGATAAACCACAGATGTACATTTCTGGGTAACAGTTCGACTGCAGAAATGCAGAGAAGCAAACCCTAATTAAGTATCATTAGATAAAATTATATAGTTTAAAAATAGCAGAATCAGGCCTTGCGCTTTAAAAGTATCAAGACAGTTGGGAATATTTCTCTTGACATATTCTACTGAACTGATTTATGACTCCCACTATATACACAAGTCTCAAACATTTTCTTTCTACACAATAAACATTTTTCTATACTTATATATGCTTCGTGAATTTTAAGGGTTTTCAATATGTAAGCAATAGAATCATCTATTTTAGACCACCTTCATCAACCTTTAAACTGCAAATATACTGTAATCATATTTCATATGAGTGTATATACTATATCTCACACGTCACATTTGTTCATAGACTGATAGTATTCTTCTGGGGCACATACATGCAGCTATTTTGCTACATTAAAATTAACCACTTCACAAACCTTGAGTTTGATTTGAGCAGAACCCTTATAAGGGCACTTTGCAGGAAATAAATAATCGTGCTGAGCATATCAACTAATATGGCTACATATTAATTAGGAGCACAGCTTTTAACTGTGATGAAGCAAAACAATGAATGACAAAGTTGCTGAATCTTGCTGAAGTCTTGAACTTTAACAGCCAGACAGAACAAGTCTAACAGCAAGGGTTTATCGAACCATTGTGAATAAAAATAAAATAGCTGCATGCCAATACTATATGTCCTATAAGTCATATATGTCCTTTATATAAGTCAGTATGCCCTATATATCCTACATTAAAATGTAAGTCCTCTTTGTCTAGACATTCAATGATTAATTTCTCACATGGAGTCACTTTTATGTGAGAGATGGTGCGAGAGAATGATCACTAGTCTCGAAAAGCAAGGCCTGCCGTATACGTATATTAATTTATACATGTCTCCCTGATATTCCTACTGGACACACATTTCCAAGAGCTCTCTCTAGAACCGCGGTCAATAAAAGCATAGAGAGTGTGTGGTATCCAGCTCCCTTCTGTAGCATCTCGAAGCAGTCCACTATAACCTGTAAAGATGCATGGAAAATCCAGCTTTTCAATTTAGGGGAAAGAGACTGACAACAGTATTTTGGTGACAATTAATGCTACTTGAGAAATGGGCTGATTATAATAGAATCTTTATGGGGGAGGGGAGCCTGACATGTGCACGCTTAGACTTGGGTGGCATCAAATGCTTAGCAATACCAGCCATCGATGGCTTGTGGTAGAGATATGAAAATTATAGGGCTCATGAAGACATGCACATTTAAATCACACATCTACACGTCAGTACCACTTCCTGCTACTACTAATAATTGATCAGGAATTGCCCTGGAATAATTGCTGAAGAGATTCTTCTTTTTCGAGCATCACACCAACCTCAGGCTGGCCTGTCCAACCAAGCTTGCTCATGTGGCTCATCCGAAATACACTGGGTGACATGGCAGTGAGAACCTGCTCACTGCACTCCATCACAGGAACAAGCTTCTGCACAATGCTGCTGTGCTTCTCGAATCCCATGGTTTCTACTGGGATGTCTATAATAGAGGGCTTTCTCTGTACGAGAGTAACTTACACAAGGCAAAACAAAGGCATAACTAGATAGATACTGTAGGATCTAGATAAAGCATAAATTCTGTTTCTATGCATCGTGGATACCCTCGCACAGTGCTAGCATGATATTACACTGGCATCATGTTTCTGCCACATTTTGGATATAGATCGATTTTAATTTCTAACATTTCCAGAAAACATAAATGATAAACTTTTGCCATAGTAAAATGATTCTATGTTAGGTTCCGATGTTAGTCGAAACATTATTAAACCTTGCATCTATTGGCTCTTATGATTGTTATATTTGTTATAGTTTACAAGTTGTTGATGATAGTTAGTTATATATTATCCTTACAATTTATTCTGGCAGGTAAATGATACATAACCTCATATTTATCAAATAAATATTTACAAGATAACGCCTTTTAAACCGTTTGTCTAATTATATAGTAAATAATGCTTTAGTTACATGTACTTTACTTACCTCCAATAAGCCGATAAATAGCATCCCAGTTTATTATGTTCTGACATATTACATGGTTGAGGTGATCACTGCTCTCTATAGGTAAACTGTTGCAAGTGGCCTTCTGCCAATCTGTACCATCTTCTTCTCCGTTGACTATAGAACCTCTTTCTAATTTATATATATCGCACTCACAGCAATAGTAAAAGTTGTAATTCTGCTCGTCGTTGCTACCACTAGGCACTAAATATCTCTGCAAACTGAATGAAAGCCCTGATCTGGTACCACTATCATTTAATAACTGGGAGACTGGTGGAGAGAGGAACGTCTCTTTATCGGGCAAAGCTAAGTTATGTAGATCACTTGCACTTGCAACCTTGTCACATGTCATTATTCGTTAGATAATTCAATCCAATTGAGTTTGAAGCAAAACTCCCCAAAAGTACTTTTTCCCAGTCGCCGAGTATGGCATAAGTTAATGTGGTTCAGGCTTATCAATTTATCAAGTGTCAAGGAACCGTTTCCTATCGTGTTAAATTGAACGACTTGTATATTCGCCTAGTACTGCATACGCGAATCCTACTTCTATTTAACTTCTATTTTACTGTTCTTATCAACGAGAGTGTTAATCTAAACGTAACCTGGCAATTTGTTGATGTTATGGTTAGTATTAGTAATGTAATAATATAATAAGCCACTTTCAACTGGGGGCTGACATATTGAAAAGTAACTACCCCGCCCCCTGTTGCCGGAATTAGTGATCATCATCAACTTCCATAGAGATATCTATGGATATGTCGGATATAGGTATTAGCAGGAGTAGATAATAGGGAATTATCTACTCCCTATTATCTACACTATCTACCCTATTACCCTATTATTCCATAGAGATATCTATGGATATGGGTATTAGCAGGAGTAGATAATAGGGAATTATCTAC